GAAAGGAGTACATCATCCTGTTTTTTTCACCTTCATCTACAGAATCACCTGCTGCTTCTTCCACACACACTGCAGCACAAAATGGATAACAAAAGAGATCTGCCAGAGAGAACCTCCAGCTCACTGTTGTAAGTGTGGCTGCCACAAAATGACCCTCAAAGTACCTAGTAACTAGTAACTTCTAACACTGAGAGAGGTATGCTAGGAAATAAAGTTGTTATATTACTGCAGTTTTTATAAGAAAGAAGATCTATCTGACCAGGAACAGCACCTCAAATAGGAAGGTACAATTGACTGAAAAACATGGAAAAAAGCACACATTTCGCCATTCAAACAACACTTCCCAGGGATTTTAAGACATCAGTCTCTCCTACATGTACTGCAATGGTCAGAACAAGAATGTGAGTCTGTGTGTCTCATAGCAAACAAAAGTAGCCCATATAGTCAGATTGCAAAAGAACTGAAAGAAGCTGAGTTCCTTTTGTGAGTTGAAAGCAACTAAAACAATTATGGGTACTGAGGCCAATTAGCTTAGAAATACGATATTGCTAACATAAATGAGTCAACATTATTGAACATTCTCTTAGTTTCCCAATTTAGACTTCAGTGATTTTTCAAATTCTCACTACAAAAAGAAGGTTGCTGGTTCTGGAGCCTGCATTTGATGGTGTTTCTTCTCACTTCCCTCTATTTTTATCCAATTTGAAAGAATCCATTATACTTTGCTACTCATTGTTAAAAAGCAACCTGTACCAATACATTTCATTTTCTTCAAATCCAAATGTGTCCTAACCAGCAGCAATGGTACAAAAAGTATCATGAGCAATTTAACAGCAAAGGAGCCATGTAAAACACTTCACCAGCAAGCTAAACACAGCTCTTAATGGAATTATGCTTCAGGTATATTTCATTATTTAGAAAGGCTCTCCAATTGACAATTACCAGAATTATCTGATGAATATTTAAGCTGTCTCACCCTGTATGAGCTGAATTGGAGGTAATCTTGCTAGAACTTAAAGCAAACAAGTATCTAGAAGATGGAAGAAAAAAAAATGTATTGCCCCCTGGAATAAAGACCAGATACATTGTGATGGGATAAAGTAGGGCTACAATGTTATTTAATTACAGTATCTGTTTAAGCTTCCCCAACCTATAGTGGGGCTTTCTAATAGCGTGGATCCTAAATCATGAGCAGAGGTTCTCCCTGACCACCTCCCTGACCTCCCTCCCTGATCTACCTACCTACCTACCTACCTACCTACCTACCTACCTACCTACCTACCTACCTCCCTACCAACCAACCAACCAACCAACCAACCAACCAACCAACCAACCAACCAACCAACCAACCAACCAACCAACCAACCAACCAACCAACCAACCAACCAACCAATCAGGTGGCCAAGGTCAAAAATTCAAACTAGTCTTTAGATGACCAGCTAGACTCACATTGATCTCTATCTCTGTTCCTTGATATCAGCATGCATGGAGATGCATGTGATGTTATGGTGCCAGAGTTCCTACATTCTCCACTGTGGGAGGCAAACTGCCCATGCAGCCAGTCTAAAAGACAGCAGAGTTCCAACTGTAGCAATTGACTACTGAATCAACTGCTGAATAGAAAGACAACACTTATGTTAAGAGCCACTGATTAGTGAGTCTACTACAGTACTTCAGTTCAGACTAGAGCGAATTCTGGGCTATTGTTAGTAAAGAAGCCTAGGGCATGATAACCTGAAATATGTGAGTCTTAATCATATTAACATTGTTCAGGTTGGCTTTGTTTCAATCCCAATTTCCAAGTTTAAGTTTATTGTATTAGCTAAAAGCCGTCACAATTCTTTAAAATAAAAATATAATCGAATAAAATCAGAATAAAATCACGGAGATATAAAATAATAAGAGACTGTTTCAATTCAGTTCTCCAGATTCCACAGATATTCTCATCATGCCCTTCTTTAGCAAACTTTCTTCTTTTTTTCTAGATAGAAATTTGTGCCTATTTTGATGTATACTTTTCTTAATGTACACATTTTGCTATTCATTGTCCTTAATGCACACATTATTTACACATTGTTTCAATGAACTAAAACATATATGTGCATTTTTTTCAAATTTAGACATTTTAATGCACGCATACACATTTACTTGTAGGATACTGAACACAAGGAAGAACCTAGTGATTATGGTTTCCTTCCAGTTTAAGGAACCCAAAAACTTTGTGCACATTAATAGGCTCACAGACTATGAACTGGATACTTTCATGAAAAATTCAAATAACATTACAGTAATTTCTTGTCCGTGCCTAGTCTTCGTGAAGCTCTTTGTGGTACATTGTTGTAAATTTATTGCTTCAAACAGATGAATTGTGGTCTACCTAAAAGCATCATCTGAATAGGGCCACTGCATAAATGGAGCCAGTGTAAAACAGAGGAAAAGAAGTAAGGCCTTTTAAAAATATTCAACCACACAGAAAATAAGCAAATTAAAACAAAAGAAAGAAAGTTGAGTCCTATCAGAACATGGTTATACAAAAGTTGTATTGTGTTAGTTGAGGTGACAAGCAAATAATGATATTAAGAAGTGAATAGTTCAGTTTTCTCTAAAAACTGAAACTTTGATTAAATATATCAATTTCTCTTTCCACTGCCTAGGTCACTCCTCACAGATCCCACTGCTTCACTCAGTGTAGTAATGTTCATCCATACTTCAAAGCTGAAGAAAATCTAGAATATTCTAGAATTCATCTTTGGCAGAAGATAATTGTTTTACTCTCTAACTGTAGCAGAGAAAACATGGAGAATATTTTCTCTAATTGGGAATAAGAGATTTTCTCTTGTCTTCCCTGTCCACATACAGCATTTACTTTTAAAAGCCTCAGCTGGTGTCAATTGAACATTTTTACCCACCAATTTAAGCTTTTTCAAACCTTAAAAACTAAATATCCAACACGAAACTCTTCCAGAAAATATTAAATGTTAGTATTAGAAGACAGATGTAGAAAACAGGTGCAATTTTTACTATACTGGCTTCATCACAAAAGCCAGCTATGGGGTACACAGTGGCAGCTGTTTTAGCACTTTCAAAAATGGATGTGCTTCTTTGGTTGCTATATGGTAAAAATGTATTTCCAATGGCTTAGATTCCACAAAGCAATATGCATTGCCATCCAGACTCCTTATCTGACATACACACAGCACTAGGATAATTATTTAGTTTTATGGAGTCATATCACAGAATATTAGCGATAGTCACTAAGATGCTTAACAAAACCCATGACCTCTAGAGTGAGGCTTTACAGCTGGGACCTCTGGCATGTTCTCATCTTCAACGGGAGAGGAATGCAACTGATCTGTTGTAGTTGAGGTTCTAGATTATTTACATGGTGTTGACTACTATTTATTTATTTATTTATTTAT